CCATCCCACCCCAGGGGAGGACATCCATCACACAGTAATCTCGTGTGTGGGAAATTAACGTCTCCTACCCCCAACCCTGCAGGAGACGGGACCTCCATTTATTCGTCCCTATCCGAGAAGACTAGAATATCTAACTATTTCTTGATGTTATAGAAAGGTAGCAAATTCTTCTCAATTATTTTAAGACCCTGAGTGTTTGTCCAGCTGGGGCTCGAACCCTCGACTTCCCGCACAACAGTCCAGTGCTCTGTCCATTCAGCTAACCGGGAGGCGGTTATAAAGATGATTTGATATTGGGTCAGTCACTAAGGACTTTATTCATGCATCCCTTTAAATATCTGGAAGTTCCAAAGAACTAGTGGTAAGTTGGGGGGTTTAGAACTCAGAACTCTCTAATAGCAATTTTTCTTCATGCATTCTCTTATCATCACCATGTTTCAGGGAACAAATGGAGATTTGTGTGGTGGATTCAGTGATCAACCATGGAGAAGTGATATTCCTCGTGGAAAATACATGCCATCTAAAAGGTGACGACTCTCTTGTTAGAAATTTGTTAAAAATTGTTTTCCCTATGAACAGTCCTGCCTTTTTAAGGTATCATTCTAGACATGAATGTATTTTTTATTACCCACGAATATGCTAATAAGTTCTAAGAGTTTCTTCCAGTCAACATCTTGTAATTTGTTTTTTTACCCATGTTTAATAGGGCATTTTTGTTTACGTTGGTGAACTCAGAAGGTGTTCCTCCAACCAAGTTTGATGTAACACATCCCAAATATGCTACTCTTCATCATCCAAGGTTTGTAAAATAACAAAAATACCTGTCGGGGGTAGTTTTCAGGGAGATTGCTCACTTCATTGAAAAGAGCCTTAATTGTTAAACTTATGTTAATGATTGAAAAAATTTGAGTTGTTAAAACTACTTTGAGACTGTAAAGTTGAATTGTTTTCTAGGTTGTTCTGTTACCTTTTTTATTTGAGAATTAACAAATCAACTGTCGTTTAGTGTGGTCTGTACTCTTATGAACAAAGATATTTGTCATCACAGTGGTCAAAATATTACATACATACATACATACATACATACATAGATTACATACATACATACATAAACTTTATTTACCTTGAATTTAAGAGTAGCTGTAAACTAATATCTTTGAGTGATTAAAATGAAGTAAAAGGAATAAGCTAAACTAGAATAAATGAATAATAATACATTAATGATGATAAATATTTACATATTAACATTATTTAAATATTATTATACTACTAAATTCAGTACTGTTACACAAAGGAGTCATACTGAAGTATTTGGCACTGAAAGTCTGGAAAATTGGAAGTTCTAAAGGTGTCTGGAATAGAGTTCCATAAGTTAGCAGTTAAGTAAGAGAAAGAGTGAAGGCCATATGTTGTAGTTTTAGGTTTCGGAAGGGACAAGATGTAATTACCAGGTAAGTTATAGGACGTAGATCTAAACGTAAACATATCATTTAAATATATCCTGGATAGTTAGTAAAAAATAAACTCTTGTACAATATGATTAAAAAATTCTGTAGGCGTCTGACTTGAAGAGATTTTAAGGTGACCTTATCCAGGAACGTATTATACGAGGATTCATAATCTTGTAAAAGAAACCTTAAAAATCCACTTGTTTAAGGCCWCCACTTTACCAGAATTGCGGGTGCCGCAAAAGTGCCACACAAAGGAGCAGTAATAAAAATGTGGCAGGATTAAGGCCTTATACAGCTTTAATAGAGTGTCTCTGGCGATGAGTTTTCGAAATCTTTGCATAACTTTAAATTGATTGTTAATCTTTTAACATATAGTGGATACATGTTTGTTGAAAGAGAGCCTGTTATCAATATTCATACCAAAAATGTCTAGAGAATTTTTAGTTTGGAAAGAGAAATTGTGATCAGTTTTTCCCAAAATAAGCGATTGGTGTTTAGTTACGTTAACTTTCATAGCGTTATTTTTGTACCATTGATTTGCCTTAGCTAGTTCACTACAAATACACTTTTCCAATATAACTGGATGAGTGTTTGAGTAGTTCACTTGGTGGTCATCAGCATATACAATCAGCTTGGACTCCTAAGGCCCTGCCAAGTAAATCCACAAAAAGTTAGACTGCTGTGATGACAAATATCATTGTTGACCACCCTAAACCACTATTGATTTGTTTTTTGCTGCAATATGGACAACAAATAAAACGATTCTTTCAGTCAGGGTGACACATTGTGTGACATGTTGATTTCAGTAGCATTATTGTCTATACTCTGATCAACAACAGCAAAGTAGCCAATCAGATTACAGCATTACTGCCGATTGTGGTAAAATCACACTTTAGTACATTCTCTGGGATGAAGGACCAAGATCTAGCAGACCAGGGACATAATCAATTTTAGGAATTGTTTTTCTTTCTATCAGATATGGACCCATGTTTGGTGGTGGGGCAGATCTGTGTATCAGTGATGAGTGTCAGGAGAAGCCTGAGTCCTACTCCAACTTGCCTCACTCCTATGATGGTCCCCAGGCTTCAACCAGTCTCCTTATGGGAGACTACAACTTCACAGTGAAAGACTATGAAGTATTTGGTTTGAAGGGAGAGCCACTTTATGAAAGAGTCTAACTAGTACACGTGGAGCCAAGAAAAGATGTTGTAACAAGAAAGATAAACTTTAATTACATCATTGATGTAACATATAAACGTCTACACATACCATGTTTCCTAGAGAAGGCTAATGCAATAAAACTGCATCAAACATTAGACTGTGTAAAAGTGACAGAGATGATCATGTCTTTTCTAGGTAGTGCAAATGGAGGAGGTGTTTGTAAAATACATGAGGAAAATTCTATTTTAAACCTGGTTTCTCTCATTGTGATTAAGTACTTTTGTATATTTACTTTTGATAGCAGTTATATTTTAAAACAATTGTAATAGAGGAAAAACTTTTCTGGAAAAAGAGTTTGTTATTAAAACTAAGTTTAATTTGTCATCTGAGAGGCTGTAGAAAGCAATTAACAATTGATAATTTATACATATGGTGGATGAGAGAGAAAAATTGTAATGCAGAACTTTTTGAGGACACAAGTATGCTGACTGATAAGCGTAAGCACGTTTTGTTTCACCTCTGCCCCTAATCCCCCCCCCCTCCCTCTCAAAACTTTTAATCCTTTTAATTTCTGTCGCTCAAAATTATTGAAATTACGAGTACCATTGCGACCGAGAGGGACTGAGTACTTAAGCTACCCATGATGCTAAGCGATAAGTATTGTATCTCTCCACCATCTTGTTTCACGTAAAGCACGGTATCTGCTGGACAAGAATTCTGTCTTGAAGGAGCCAGACAGTGGACATTAGACAATGTTTCTTCAACGAGCTTGTAATACAATGAGAGCGGGATTACTGAGAAGAGCCATGACCACTGGAAGAAGGCCAGAAACTCCCGAAAGAATGGTGAGACCTTGTCGTAGTTCCTGAAAATGTTGAGTGCTCTTCACGCGTTTTTGCACGAACAGCAGGATTGTAGAAGGTTTTTTAAATGACTGACTCATGATTGAAATAGCTGTTCTATATTTTTCCCTTTCATGTCTTACACTCATTACCTTAATGAGAAGTGTAAAATATTTTTTGCGGTTATAATACACGCAACATGTCCAACTTTACCTTTTAGAGCGTCGATATTATATAACCTTGATTAGATCGCGAATTGCGACCGAGTTATCGATGTTGATTTTCGTTTAAAATATAAGAAATTAGAATTTTTCGTTTCGTTTTTAACAGAAGGGAAACTTACGTATGATGGACGATCCTCGTCCATCATACGTACATCATACGTCCATCAAACAAATATATGATTTTCATATATTTATTCTATCTCAGAAGGGAAACTGCTATTTAAAGCATGAAGCCAGTTTTGACCCTACTGAGGTCAAAGCGGGCCTCAAACTGTGTCCATCGTGTTTTATTAATTGAAACTTCCAACAGGGCAAGACAGACTGGGAACAATGAAAATGCCCACAACAACAACTATCATTCAAGTACAACTGTCAACTGCAGATCACTACTCCTTTTGTTTTCTTTTTTTTTTTTTAATTAAGTTATTGGGCAATTCTTCAAGGAAACTTTTCCTCAAACAAACCTGAGACAGCAGTGACATTAAAATTCTTTATATATACATGACTCCCTGCCTCAAAATGGTTTTTGAAGTTCCTAACAGCAGGGAAGTATGGCCTCCCAGGAAAATAACAGCTCAATAGATAACTCGTGTAATGCTATGCAAACTGGAACTAGTTGCAGCAGTGTTAACTTTAAGGTAGATTGAATCCTTAACCCCTCTAAAAATAAATAGAAGTATTTTATCACGTGGTGACACCTCTTTTCTCAACAGACCCCTGTTCAACATGTAGCAGCCTTCTCTGCCTTTTTCGTTGGAATCCTGGGCCCTGGAATTGTTCTGATGCTTACACGTGACAAACCACTCAGTGAACACTGATGAGGGATTGGTGCCATGATACCATTAATTTCAAAGACAAGCTGCTTTTGTTGTATTTACTTTGAATGTTAGGTTGTGGAAGTGTGACTGACTAGAAAGAATTGTAAAGAACTTTTGATGAACTGTCATGGTGTATGGTTTTTCACAAAATTTGCACTGTATTTTAATGATGCTGTGGTGCAGTAATTAAACTGATGATAAATTTTTGAGGATGCTTTCACTTGTTTTTCTGGAATTTATCTGATTAAACACAGAGTGCAGTCAATTTTTCCAGATATTTTAAAGGTGCCTGATCTATGTGTACTGACTCTTGATGCAGACTCTTAACAGCCCTATAAGGACTCTTAAAAAGTTCTTCATATTCAGATAATCAGGTAGTAATCTTCAATTGTTTGAGCTCATTACTCGGAACTCTTGGCAATAAAGATAATAAGGGCGAAGAACCTATTTCCCATCCTTTCCTAGCATATTTTTCATTTGACCGATTCACTGATTCATACTGGTTGGAAGCTTTAGGACATTGGGGCTTTCACAAGCATAAAGGAATCAATTGAAACCCCAAACCTGACTTGGGAAGGCAACATCCCATGCTGCTAATCAGACCTACATTACCCTTCACATTTTCCCAATTTTAAATTTGTAAGAACTCCATTCCAACTTCAATCTTTTCTTTTTCTTTTTTTAATTCACTTTAATTTTATGACTTGGTGATCCTCTTCACCGTTCCCTGGGATGAAACTTGATTATGATGCAAGCATTAGCAACCTGATAATAGCTCCTGGTGTTATATTTTCTTTACATTGTGTTTAACATTTTTCTTAAATCTGTGATTAATTACTCTTCACTTATACCTTGTTCATGCCTGCATATGCTGCAATCTGTTACAATTTTTTGTGTCATCGCACGGGTAACAAAATTAAACGGCCAGCGCCTCACCCTCTCCCCTGTCTGGCTTATCGGTTCGTAACACACTCCTTCCTACATGTTGAAAATATTCATATCCCCTAAGTCTTTGCGGCAAATTAACTTTTCCGGCNNNGGGTACACAGGGTACACAGGGTACATAGGGTACACAGGGTACACAGGGTACACATGGGTACACAGGGTACACAGGGTACACAGGGTACACAGGGTACACAGGGTACACAGGGTACACAGGGAGAATGGGTAACAGGGAGTCTATACGGAGACTGGGTAAGAGGGAGTCTATATGGAGACTGCCATGAATTACTTGCCGAATTACTTGCCACTTTTCCCGCTAAACAATATGGCGGATTGTGTTCTCGATGGAGAAAAACTTTGTGAGGTGTCTGGCGAAGTAAAATGGTCGAATGTGGAACGTTATAGTTTAGAATATTGCCATGGATCATTAGCTCTCTATAAACTGAGTAACAGTTTTTATATACATGGAATTACAAAAGCAAAACGTGTGAAGGTAATTTCAGTTTTCATGATTATAATTTTTTAACACCAAGTCAAAATCGTTCCTTATCTCACCTGCGTTTGAAGTAAAATACTGTGCGCTTGCTGACCTCTCTGTCAAAAAGCTATACTTGGCTAATTTTTTTGGTGTATTTATCTCGTGCACGCAGGATCGGAGCACATAGCTACACTACAGAACCTGAACCATATCTGTTTTGTTCATCCATTCCATTCATTCAATTCGAATGGCTAATTCGAAGACCTTTTATTGTTCATTGTATATAGTTCATAGCATTGAGCAATAGCTAAATGGGTAGCTATATTTTAGCGTAAAATATGATGCTGAATTTAAAGAAGGTTAACTGAAAGAGTATGAAAGAGTATATGATGCATAAAACCTCACTGCTTAGCTCTTTAGTTCACTCTGGTTTAATTCAAGCATGGCATATAAATCGGCTGTTGCGTTGCTTGAAAGTCTAATCGATTGAGGGGCATTTGAATGGGCCTCAACAAATCACTTCCAGAAGTGACCAGTAAATTATTTCTCATTCAAATATTGACAAGTTTTCTTGCGGAGGGGTGATGAGAAGAGAAAAAATTATCAATTATTGTTTGATTCAACTCTTGATTCTCCTCACTTAAGCAATAAGAGATATATGGGTGAGAGTGAGGAGAATTGGTATTGAGATCTAGGAAATTGAAAGGTTGAAGAAGATGTGATGTTATTTTAGTGTGATTTTCTGTTATACTGTGCTTTCAAACAATTCAATAATACATACCGATAATTTCTAATTAATCTTTAGTGTTATAGGAAAATTCATTACTTGAGGAGAGAATTCTGCATTAAATTGTACATGAAAAGTGATATTGCACGAATCGCAAAGCGAGTGTGATATCAGTTTTTCAAGTGCAATTTAATGCAAAATTCACGAGTCAAGTAATGGATTTTCCTTGAATTTCATAATTGAATAAGGATAAGAAAAAAAAAGAAAACAGCCTTATAGTTGTTATGTACATGCAGATGCATATCAATATCATTTAGCCTCATTTTCAACTTGCAATTCCATGCTAAATACCAGGCTTCGTTAACCAATCAGAATGCAAGATTTTATTCAATGATGTGATTCTCATGTTAAACTGTGTTCAATCCTTTTAATTTCAGTTCTCCTTGAAACCTGATAAGTTTTCACTTCAAAGCCGCGAGTCCAGGTTGACATTGTCTTTTACTGAGCGAGGCAAATCAGCAGTTTCTATGCACTTGAGAGAGGCAGAACCTAACCAACTACGAACATTTTTAGATTTCTTAAACAGCATAAAGGCATACAATGCTACTTTTAAAGGTGAGAAAACAAGAAAATTAACTTCTTTACAGGGCTCAAAATGTACTATCTTTCCTATTCTATTTGCAATACATGATGCTATCAACATTGTGATTCTAGCAGTATGCAGGATGCATTTCATATATGAACTTCATGGCAGGGTTCGACATCTCCACTAGCCCGGTAGCCCGAGGCTATTAAAAATGTGGTCGGGCTAGTAAAAAACCACGTTTAATAGCCCACTGGCTAGTAGAAAAATTGAAAGAACTTATATGAATAATTAGTTTACTTGAAGTTCATAGTTGATTAAAAAAACAATAAAGTTCAAATTGTAATGATAATACCAAGAAATACGGCAGAAGTCTCTCATCTAATGGTGTCTTTTTTTGTCTTGCATGTCGATCGTAAATCACTAGATCCCAGACTCCGTGCTTACCAATGTTGCGATGCCTTACACATCGCCTCGCACGATCGCCTCGCACTTGAAGCATTTGTACTATTCTTTATCATTTTAAAAGACCTTGCCAATAAGTTAAGAGGAAAGTTTGTCTGTTTGGGGTTGAAGTAGACCTTGAGGGTAATTGATCTGGGCTACCAAGTTGTGTTTCAGGCTAGTAAATTTTAGAAATGACGAGCCGGGTGGCTAGTGATGTAGGTAGCCAAGTGTCGAACCCTGCATGGTGAACTTTGCTCACCACAGAGTCTCTGTGGCACAGTGGTAGAGCATCAGAGTGCTGAATCAGAAGGTCTGAGGTTCGATTCTTCATGGGGACTCAGAATTTAATCATTGTACCACGCTTGTGGCAAGACGAAAAACATCTTTCTCTAGGAAGATTAATGTTGAATCTATTTATACAGTTAAAAGGTTTTTGACATCCTTTGCATGGTGTGATTCACAGAACAATTCTCAATACTAATTACAGTAACCCATTAAAAACTTATGCTAGCTTACTTGACATACATTGATTAAATGAATTGACTTATTTATTTTTGCCATCTCTTATCTGTAGGTAAATTACTTTCATCCTCTTCAAAAGGGAAAGACATAGAAAATGCAGAGGTAAGCTTAACTCTTTGATTCCTAAGATTGACCGGCATGTAGTTTCTCCTTACAATATCAAGGACATAGCCAGGGGGGGTCCTGGGGTGCCTGTGACCCGTGACCCCCCCCCCCC